CAGATACCATGGAGACTACAATTTAAACAATGAATAATAATAAATGTTGATAAAGATGGGGAAAATGGAGTCTTACTACTTTGCTAGTGAGGATGTAAAGTGGTGAAGTCACTTTGAAAAACAGGGTGACGTTTCCTCAAAAAGTTAAACATGGAGTTACTATATGACCTACAATTCCACCCTTAGGTATATCCCCATAAGAAAGAAAAACTGTGTCCACATAAAGTCTTGTATACAAATGTTCATGGTACCATTGATTATTATTACCAAAAAGTGAAAGTTGCTCAGTCGTGTCTGACTCTTTGCAACCCCGTAGAGTATACAGTCCATGGAATTCTCCAGGCCAGAATACTGGAGTGGGTAGCCTTTCCCTTCTCCAGGGGATCTTCCCGACCCAGGGATCAAACCCAGGTCTCCCACACGGCAGGTGGATTTCTACCAGCTGAGCTATCAGAGAACCAAAGTAGAAACCATCTAAATGCTCATCAGTTAGTGAACAGATCCTCAGTGTGTGCTCCCTACAGTATGAGCATGGATACAAAATGAACACTATTCAGCCATGGAAAGGAATGAAACTCTGACACAACCCGGATGAACCTTGAATTCATGTTACTCAGTGAAATACGTTGTGGTTGTTGTTCATTTGGCAAGTCGTGTCCGACTCTCACGACCCCATGGACTGCAGCATGCCAGGCTTCCCTGTCCTTCACCATCTCCCAGAGTTTGCCCAAGTTCATGTCCATTGAATTAGTGATGCCATTTAACCATCTCATCCTGTCACCCTCTTCTCCTGCTGCCTTCCATCTTTAAGCCAGATACAAAAGCCCACATATTTATGATTTCATTTATATGAAATATCTAAAATAGTCAAACCCAGAAAACATATATTAGTGGTTTCCAGGGATGGGAAGTATGGGTATGGGGCTTCTTTGAGGGATGATGAAAATCTTCTGGAATTAGATCATGGTGATGTTTGCACAGCTTTGTGAATATACAGAAACCATTGAATTTTAAGTTCTATGGTATGTTTGTTATATTTTTTAAAGAATCAGCCACAAGGAGACAGCAGCTCAGCTCAGCTAGATGGGGTGTGGCTAGAAGATAGCCTGACTGACAGTCAGTGATCTGGAGTCCTGGCCTTGACTGAGCAAGTCTGACTCGGCCACTTCCCAGCCAGGAGCTTCTCTGACAAACCCTGTCCCGCTCTGAGCCTCCGCTTCCTTTTGTTGTAGGGTAGCAGGTGAGGACAAACCTATACACATAAGGGGACAGTTTCCCTTGTTCTCACCGAAGTTTGTGATTTGTGGCAGCAGGAGGGACTATTAGGGAAAACAGAGTGCTTGGATCTTTCTCCCATTCAACAATAGCAACTCAAAAGTCACAGCTGGTGAGTACAGCCACCTGATTCTAACTGTCCAGCACGGGGGATGAGCTGCTGGAGAATTCTGTAGAGAGGCCCCTTTGACTTTGCAGGTAGGAAGACAGGATGATGGCAGTAGGCATGAGCATCTCTGAGCCTGGGTTTTTCCTTGGATGCTGGGTTTTCTGATCTGAGTTGGTGGCTGCATCTCTTCCCATACCCACGATATCCAGTGTGATTCTTACAGTGAGAAATTTACGACTTGGAGCTTTCAGACACCACACCGATTTCATTTGTCCAGCTCGTGGCAGAACCTGTAATCACCTCTGTGGGCTCCAGACAGGCTCTGGCCAAGGTAGCCAAGAGGAGGAGACGTGAGAGTCCCCACTGCCCCGCAAACAAGAACCATGTTGCTCCTCGTGACAGAGAGGAAGTCCAGGCTGACATCTTGTGAAAATATTTCTGTGGCTTGTTTACGGAATGAACCCCGAGCGGACAGCTTCTCCTGCTCTCTCTAGAGTGTTTGGCTTTGCAGCTGGGCCAGATGCGGCTCCGGGTTCTTTCTCAGGAGGTTCCAATGACGTCCTGTTTTTCTTCTTTATGTATCAGTTGTCACCTAGCCATGGACTAGGCACACAGTCCACCCCTGCTCATCCTGCAGCAAGCTGCCTAGGTAATGAGCCTGGTGATCAGGGCCCTGCAGCCGCCTGGATCTCAACCAGGGGAAGCTGGCAGAGGGGCAGAACTGGTCCCTTCTGAAATCAAACCACTGCATGACGTTCAATGCCAGGCAGTGATGACCCTGCTTCAGTGAGCCTGACGCTCCTTGAAGAAGAGAGGGTGTCACGCAGCCACGTTTAAGTTTATGGAAGAAGCAAGTTCATGGCGATGCCGCTCACACACTCCGTCCCTCAAACCTCCCCAGCACCTCTTGGCTGGCTGGCATGGACAAGACCCCTGGCAGAACCAGATGGTGTCCCGGAGGCCACCCAGGCCCCTGCACATTCCTCATGTCACAGACGGGAGGCTAAGTCCAGAGATGCGCTGACCGGCTCAGGTCACCGCTGAATGGCAGCTGGGACCTGAGCCCTGGGTCTCAGCTGCTTGTCTGGACTCTGCCTGCTGAACCGTGCTGGGCTGGGGCAAAAGAAAGGAGGAAAAATCCTCCTCTTTCCACCTCTCCCGCTGCTCCTTCTTGCTGCCCACCCCCACGCCCTCTACTTAGGGGAGGCTGTGTGTCCCTGAGAAGCCCAGCTGACCCCTCACCCCCCCGCCTAGGCTCTGTTCTTCTGTCACCTGGGCTGTCTTCAGCTCACAGAGTCAGAAGCAGGCAGGGGATGGTGGTGGTGGTGGTGATGATGGCACTTTCTCTCCCTTTCAGGTTGGAGCCCAAGTTGAGCTTGTCTGGGTTATGTTACAAGACAGAGACCACCTGTGTTTAACCACTTTCCAGTGTTGATGGCTTAAAGTGAGACCCACTCCGTCTCCCCCGCCCCCACCCCTGCACAAGGGTAGGAAGGTAGGAAAGTGAAGTCGCTCAGTCGTGTCCGACTCTTTGCGGCCCCATGGACTGTAGCCCACCAGGCTTCTCCGTCCATGGGATTTTCCAGGCAAGAAGACTGGAGTGGGGTGCCTTTTCCTTCTCCAGGGGATCTTCCCGACCCAGGGATCGAACCCGGGTCTCCCGCACTGCAGGCAGATGCTTTACCCTCTAAGCCACCAGGGAAGGTAGGAAGATGACTACTAAACTCATCTGTCCAAGTGACTAGCTCTTTGCCCTTCCTCCCATCACAAAAGCTCTCTAATGTTTTCTAAGAACCACTTAGGTAATAAAACCAAGGCAGGACCGCAGAATGAAAGGCAGAAGAGTCTGCAGCAAGAACTGAAAGCAGGCTATGGAAGCGGTATTTGTATGGTCATGTTCACAGCAGCATTACTCACAGTAGCCTAAAGGTGTAAGCAACCCAAGGGTCCATTCAAACAAGTATGGTCCATCCATACAATGGAATATCATCCACCTTTTAAAAGGAGATTCTGACACATGAGACAACATGGATGTACTTTGAAGACATCGGGTTGGGTAAACTAAGGCAGTCACAACAGGACAGTCACTGGATAATCCCACTTACATGAGGTCCCTGTGATAGTCAAATTCATGGAGAGAGAAAATAGAATGACAGTGGTCCCAGGCTGGGGGAGGGGCAAATGGTTATGGTTTAAAGTGGACAGAGTTCTGGTTCGGGATGCTGAAAAAGTTCTCAGGATGGATGAGGGTGGTGGTTGCCCAACACGGTGTAGATGGATGTGCTTACTGCCACAGAACTGGACACTTAAAAATGGCTAGGATGGTAGATGTTTTTTGTGTGTTTTACCACAATTAAGTGGGGAGGGGGGAGGCCCATAAGGGGAAATCCATCTTGCACTGAAAAAGGTCTCGTTATGCATCTTATTCCTTTTTCAGACTCTGCAGTCTTTAAAGATGGGGACTCCTGTGCTCAGCCCAGCACCTGAGTCAGGTCTTCAAAGACCTCAGATTCCCAGAAACTGTTGACTGAACTGGGGTTGTGGCGCCATCCCACCAAGGCCGACTCCCGAGCAGAGCCTCCGGCTGCCGGGAGGCTGCCGCATGCGCACAAGCATATTTGGGTGTCCGGTCCCGCACGCAGTGGTCTTACCCGGTCCTCCAGGGGAGACCCCACTCCCACCGCACAAAATGCTGACCCTGGAGCCAAGCCCTGACACCAAGGGCAGAGGCCTGGTTCCTCCAGTTCCAGGCGTCTTGGAAATCAGCTTGAGCCAGAGTAGCTACAAAATTAGTGGGCAGGTTTTTACTCATTATTAGACAAGTCTGTATTATGCTCCATCATCTTCTGGGAGAGATAAAAATTACATAAAACTGTGACTAATAACACTTTGCATTTTTTGATGGGGACCGTTGTTGGCAGGCAGAGTGCTGGGCTGGTGAAAACCTTTCTTTTCATGGTTCCCCGCCCTTCAGTTTGCTCCCTTAACTGAGGAGCAAATAGCCTTAGAATGTGGGAGGGCCAGGTGTCACCTAGTCCTGATGTCCAAAGCCAGCATGTTCTTTCCCCTTTCTCAAGCTTCATGAAAGAGGTTATCAGATCCTACAGATTAGGCCCCATTTCTACCTTTTCTGTGTGTACAATGATCATTCATATTGCAAAGTCTCAGCTTGAGGCTTATTGGATTGGGTGATGCTTGGCAGGTTACTTCAAGGAGGCACAACTTTCTCATCTGTAAAATGGGGGAAATAATTGTGCTTTCCTCCAAAGGGTCATTCTGAGTGTTAAAGGAGATAACCTTTGTATCCAGTATCTGTCTTGTCTTGATCATCAAGCACAATAAATTTCAGCCTTTATGATGTAATGGTGTTAACAAGTGACATTGACCTGACTCAAAGTACCTTGGGGTTGTCCAGTGAATTTTACACTGCCCTGGTGTTTATGAACCAACTTACAAAGGTGCTGTCCATTTATCTAATGACCCATACTAACAGTGCCTTATCCCAGAGTATAAAACCACTCTCTGTATGAAACAGTGAACTTCATTTGAAAGGCAGTGAGTTATGCAATTTATCATTTTCCCCTCTTTGGCCTTGGCTGCTACAAACTCACCCTTAGTTTGTGGTTCTTCTGTGCCAGGGTCATCTTTAGCCTAGGCTTTATGGTCCGATGAGTTCTCCAGTTCATTACTTGCGTCTTTATCAGTTTTGCTGGCTTTTATTCGTGTTGTTAATTATAGGCCACCTCAAACCTGATTTGGTATACATTATTAAACAATATTCACTATAATTTAGTGTCAAAGGTGCTTTGTTAAATTGTTGGAATTGATCATTCCTGTAATAGCTTGCATGGTACACAGACTGCCCCGTTGCCCAATTTTCTAGATAAACCACTTTTCAAAAATTGGTAACACATATTACAAGTAGGGTAAACAAATTAACATTGTGATGCTATCTGAATGTATTTTAATAGTGAGGGAACATATCCACGGTAAAAAAAAATGCTGCCTGGCAAGAGAACCAGCATCATCAAAACAAGGTAAAAGATAAAAAGTAATGAGAAGTTGAGGGGAAATGTATATCTGAATGTAGGCAGTAGATAAAATCGTTCTTTGTCTCACATCTAACAGTGCTCTGCAGAAAACGTAATGGTTGCACAAACTTTTTTTTTAAACTTGTCAGCAAAGCCTCAGATATAAATGTCAAAGTGATGATTGCTGTTCCTTCTCAGGAGAAATAGCCCAGGGTGGACTCCTTACCCTCTCCCTAGTTGCCGTGGAAACATTCTGGTGACTTCATCACAGGTAGAGTGTTTGGAGGTTCTTCAGCCCACCTCGGAAGGTGGGAGCCTAACTCATTCCGAGAGGAGTTACGGATGTGAACTGTGGCCAATTTTTCTTCCCTTTAGCTCAGTGCATCCTTGCCATTAACAGACTTTTGAATCTAAGTAAAATGTCTTTGAAACATCAGTGGAATATGATCAAGCTGTCTGAGGAAGGTATGTTCTGATTTTCTCCCATACATATAACGCCTACCAAAATGCAAAATATTTATTCGTTCGGCCAACAATTGGTGAAGGTCTTCAGTTGGCAGGCACTGAGCTGGGCATGGGAGGGAAGTTGATGCTGAGGTGCCCTCTAAAGGCCTCCACCAACTTGAGGGACAGACCCACGCCCAGATGATTACAGGGCAGCGTAGTGAGAACTCACAGTGACAGCGGCCTGTTGGGGGCATCGTGCTGGGTTAGATTGTGTCCCTCCAAAGTTGTGCTCAAGCCCTAACCTGTGAATGAACTGGGTTTGGAAACGAGGTCTTTGCTGATGTAGTCAGGATGAGGTCATACTGGTTTGGAGTGAGCCTGCCTTCCAGTGACTGGGGCCCATGTAATAAGAGAGTTTGGAGACATAAAGACAAAGGGAGGATGGCCACATGGGGGTGAAGGCAGACGAATGATGCTGCCACAAGCTGAGGAATGCCAGGGGTTGCCAGCAGCCACCAGAAGCAAGAAGTGGCAAGGAAGGATGCTCCCTGCATCCTTCAGAGGGAGCACGGCCCTGCCAACAGCTTGGCGTCAGATGTCTGGCCTCCAGTCCCATGAGAATAAATTCCTGCTGTTGTAACTGCCCCTTTGTGCTCATTTGTTGTGGAAGCTCTAGGAAAGGAACACAGGCAGCTGCACGGATTGGCAGGCATGTGTGGTGGGGTCAGACCTAGGAGCCCTGCTGAGCGGAGGTGACCCTGAGCTGTGCAGAGGGCGAGGGATTAGCCCTCTGGGAGAGCTGGGCAAGAGGCAGCCAAGGCCAAGGTCACAGAGACGTCGAAGCAGCCACATCCAGGAAGGAGAAGGGGCTCATTTTAAGGATTTCTATCTTGGACTCTATTTTTTTTTAAATTTTTTTTGAAACTTGGAGAGATTTTATTAGTTACATTCATGGAAATAACTGAATAGATTTTTTTTTAACTTCAAAATCTTTGGTTTATTTCTTTTTTAGAATTTATTTTATAGAAGTATAATTGATTTACAATGTTGTGATAATGTCTGCTGTACACCAAAATGATTCAGTTTAACATATATATGCATTCTTTCCCATTATGATTGATCACAGGATATTGAATATAGTTCCGTGTACTATATAGTGGGACCTTGTTGTTTTCTATCCATTCTCTATATACTAGCTTGTATCTGCTAATCCCAAACTCCCGATCCATTGCTTTCCCACCCTCCTGCTGGCAACCACAAGTCTGTTCTTTATGTCTGTGAGTCCGTTTCTGTTCAGAAGGTATATTCATTTGCATCATATTTTAAATTAAGGGATATCTTATGATATTTGTCTTTCTCTGCCTGATTTACTTCACTTAGTATGATCATCCCTAGGTCTATCCATGTTGCTGCAAATGGCATTCTTTCTTTCTTTTTCATGGCTGAGTAATATTCCACTGTAGATACGCGCCACGTCTTGGTCCATTCACCTGTCAGGGGCATTTAGTTGCTTCCATGTCTTGGCCATTGTGACTCGCGCTGCTGTGAACATAGGGGTGCGTGTATCTTCTTGAATTAGAGTTTTGTCTGGATATATGGCCGTATCCTGGTCTCCTTGAGCCCCCAGCACGTCTGCACGTGGGCTCGGCTTGTTATGTCTATGTTTCCCAGGTTCCGTTCTGGGGGGAAACGCATCCGTTTCATTAGAGTTCTCAAAGGAGTGTGTGACCTTCACAAGGTCACAAACTGGCAACGTCAAGGGGATTTGGGAACCTGACAGGAGGCGAGGCTGGGGGTCACCCCTTGATTGTGACCTTGCCGAGACCAGGCAGCTCAGGCAAGATTAAGCTGATGGGATGAGGCAGAGCGTCTTTCACGAGCTAAATCAGGACTTTATTTTTAAACAGACGTTGGAGGTGGGTGTGGAGGTGGAACCCTGATTTCTGTTGTGGGTGATGGGAGGGTGGTGGCCATATGCTGAGAAAATGGACCTGGGGGGTGAGGAGGAGGAAAGGAACAGGGAGGGAGGGAGACGGAGGGGCAGGGGAGGAGGTGATGTCAGTGGCGGCAGCTCAAGAGAAGCTGGTTGATCCGCTTTTGGAAAAGCTGTGTGTGTGTTTTTTCTGTTTGTTTTTATTTTTTAATCTACTGACAAGTATCTTTATTTTTAAAAAATATTTATTTATTTATTTGGCGGAGTCTGGTCTCAGTTGTGGCATTTGGGATCTTCCTTAAAAAATGCGAGATATTTCCCTGTGGCATCTGGACTCCTGTGCACAAGGGCCCAGTAATTGAAGTGTGCGAGCTGTTTCTTTGCAGCATGTAGTATCCTAGTTCCCTGCACCCCCTGCACTGGAAGACGGATTCTTAACCACTGGCCCACCAGGAAAGTCCCCCAAAATGAGATGCGGAGACTTGGAGGTCACTGCTTCTAAGGTCTAGTGCCCACGGCTGGGCTCTGGGTCCTGCCTCGGCAGTGGTCTGAGACTCGGCAGGAGGACCCAGAGGGAGGGTGCCAAGGAGAGAACGCAAAAGAAAGGAAGACACGGCAGCCAAGGGAGGGAGACGGTGAGGAGACCCCAGAAGTCAACCGTGGGGAGGTGGTCCAGAGGCAGTGGGTAGTTAACAGGGTCAAACCTCACAGAGGTGACGGCTTCAATTCAGGCTGAGAAGTGAGTCTCTCCAAGAAACACCTACTGAAAAGATTCAGAAGCAGTCATGTTGAAGTCAAGTGAAAATTCCTCACCTCCTATCAGACTGGAAATGAGGGAAGGCATTTACAGTCTACGAGGTGGGGATGTGGACATCCCATCTGGGTCTCTGATACACACGATAGAGATGTGAAAACAAGTGAGCTCTCTGAACCAACGGAAGCCTGAGGTTCATCATTTACACGCGACGTTGATGGATGGATTCATTAGGCAGTGCATGATGTGGCTTGTCGGCTATTTCTGCACAGACAGCTCAAGCAGTGCTGGGCGCCCTGTGGGAATCGTATGCAGCTCCTTACCCATATCCCTGGCTCTGCCCAGCATGCTGCTTGCCGTCTCCTGGTGTTCTGGATTCCCTCTTACTCAGTCCCTGAAGACACTTCCACCTTCCTCTTTTACCTCTGCTAGGGCGGCATCACCTTCTCCCGAACCAGGGTCCCCTTCTGCCTACATTCACCCCATCCCACACCTTTCCCAGGTCCCTGACGGGTGGGGCTCTCCTGGTAGCTTCCTGCGATGCCTGCTGTGACGTCCTCTTAGAGTTGTGGGAGGGGACAGCGTCTCACCACATTTGCTGCCCCGCCCTGGGGCCCCCATCACCCTGAGGGAGGCTCCAACTCCCAGTCAGGTGGAACTATCCCTGAAGCACGCTTTCCTCCAGGAAGAACGTTAGATTCCCGTAGAGTCTGGCTCAGGGCCTCATGGTGTGTGCAGTTTCGTGTTGCTCTGACTCTCTTAGCTAGCCTCCAGGGAGGCCTCCGTGGCTTTGGAGGAAGAACTCAGGCTGCTAGAGGTGGAATCCTGTTCCATCTTTCCAGCCATCATGGGAGAGAAGCCCTCATCAGACTTGCCTGTGCCGTGACCCCTGCCAGGGCATAGAGGACACTGTGCAGCAGACTCAGCCCATTCCTCAACCAGCAACGCCTGGGCTAAGGGCTTCTTTCACAGCTCAGTCCGTAAAGAAACTGCCTGCAGTGCAGGAGACCTGGGATCAGTTCCTGGGTCAGGAAGACCCCCTGAGAAGCGAATGGCAACCCACTCTAGTCTTCTTGCCTGGAGAATCCCAGGCACAGAGGAGCCAGGTGGGCTACAGTCTATGGGGTCGTAAGAGTCGACGCAACTGAGAGAATAAACCACTAGATTGGTTAAAGGTAGAGACTTTAGGTAAAGAAAGACGCTGATCCAAATCTGTCTCTGACACTAACCATCTGGGCAATTAAGGTCATATTGGGCAACTTCCTTAAATTGTCAGTCTGACTTCCCCTGGGGAATGAGTTTTAGTTTGTTTCAAAATAACCACACTCTGCCATCATCGATGGCCTCGTTCTAATTGAAGACACTGAGAAAAAGCCCCACTGCCATCCCCTCGGCGCGTTCTCCAAAAGCCGTGGGATGACGGTGAGCCAGAAGATCTCTGGCTCCGTTCTAGGGCCTCAAGTCACCATCTGCGCAGGCGCTTGATCGTCAGGGACCCACAGTGCCCTCGGGCTGTAGCGGCGTGGAGGGAACCAGAAGGCTCCCTCAGGCCCAGGAGGTGCGCTCCGCCCCGCTTCCCTGCAGTTTCCGGATCAGTGGGTCTGCAGGTCAGGAGGCGGGGCCTGACACTGTGGATTTCTGACGTCGCCCCGTGATGCTGCGGCTGCAGGTCTGGGGACCCACACTGAGCCCCCGCGCTTGGCCAGCACGGTGAGATGCCAGCATGTCGAGTGTCCAAGAAGCAGAGCCTGGGGTGGGAATGGAGGGGCGCGAGGGGGAGAGTGCCCTTGAGGACAGAACCCAGAGAAAGTGAGAGAGGCCTGATGCGGAAGCTGCGGGGGTTGATGGATGGGCCCCGGGGGCAGGCTGGCCCTCGGGTTATGCTCTGGAGCAAACCGCAGCGTTGCGCTGGCAGTTGTACCCCTCTGAGTCCCCACCGCCTGTGGGCCAAGGTGGAGGAAGCCTTCTGTCAAGGACGGTTCTCAGAGAAGAGCAAAGCTGTGAACCTCTGACAGCCGCCTCCCTGCCGCCGCCTCCACCGCCGCCGGGGGCAGCCAGGCAACGGGCGGGAACAGGGTCAGCTCCGCGTTCTAGTTTCTCAGCACTCTGGTTACTGGCACTCGGACCCAGGCTGCCTGACTCCGCGATGAAGCCCCGTCGGTGCGCGTCCTCCAGGTGCCCAGGCCCCGCCCTCCGCCAGTGTGCCTTTCACCAGGACGGTCTCCTGCTGCAGGGTGAGGCTGACCTGGGGCCCGCAGACAGGCGGCTGCCCCCGGAGAGCTCTGGGACAGGCCAGCTGCGGGGCAAGGAGCAGACGGGCTGGCCCCTCCGGCCCGGCCAGTAGTACCTCCTCCAGAGACCTAGGCCGGGTGCCGTGGGTCCTGGGTTCTGCAGATACCTGTTTTGGAGACCCGGATCCCAGCTGCTGGAAAATGCCCAAACTCCTGTTAGCCTTGTTCTTGGTAGTCTGCCTCAAATGTCCACCGGCTTTGCCTTATTCAGAGATGCTGGGTGCNCCCCCCCCCCCAGTGCAGGGGGGACTCTCTCAGTGATGACAGTGATGTGGTCAGGTGGGAAGGGACAGGGGACGTGTCACCACGTGCCAGGAACTCTGCTGAGTTCTTGGTATTTGTCATCGCTTATTCCTTGTAACACCCTAGGAGACAAGTCTTGTGTTTCCTCTGACACACGAGGAAGTAAGTTTGACAATTTAAGAAAGTTGCCCAAAATGACCTCATTTGCCCAAATGGTTAGTGTTAGGGACAGATTTGGATCAGGGACTTTCTTTACCTAAAGTCTCTACTTTTAACCAGTCTGGTAGTTTAGTCACTCAGTCATGTCTGACTCTTGGGACCCCATAGACTGTAGCCCATCAGGCTCCTCTGTGCATGGGATTCTCCAGGCAAGAGAGAACCCACTGGAGTGGGTTGCCATTCCCTTCTCCAGGGGAGGGGATCTTCCAGACCCAGGAGTTGAACCCAGGTCTCCTGCACTGCACGCAGATTCTTTACCGACTGAGCTATGAGGGAAGCCCAGCCTAGTAAACTCTCTTACGGCTTTTGGGTCATTAATTGATCAGGCTCAATTAATGCATGCATGGCTATAATCACACCTCAATTTTACTCAAAAACAGGCTCATAACTCTAAGTTACAGCTTTACTATTTGTGTGGATTCCCACAAACATTTAAAAAAAATTTTTAAATGTTGCAATCATGGGGTTCATAAGACTTTGATTCCTTCCTTTCAGTTAAAGTTACATTTTAAGAACTTTCCCATAGAGTCATCATTTTAAAGACCCTACATTCCAGCCAGTACATCTCCCTCAGTCTCCTCAACTAGACTGTGATGGGTATAATAATGGTCCCACAAACTATGTCCACATCTTCATGCCTAAAACCTGTGAATATATTACCTTTTAAGTGGCTTAGTGGGAAAGAATCCACCTACCAAGCAGGAGATGCGGGTTCAGTCCCTGGTCGGGAAGACCCCTTGGAGACGGAAATGGCAACCCACTCTAGTATTCTTAGCTGGGAAATCCCAAGGATGGAGAAGCCTGGTGGGCTTAAGCCCATGGGAACACAAAAGAGTTGGACACAACTTAGCAACTAAAAAAAAAAAATGGCAAAAGGCGCTCTGCAGGTGAGATTAATAACCCACCTAAGAAGAGAAGAGTGTCCTGTATTATCTGGGTGGCCCAGTCTAATCAGAAGGATGCTTATAAGAAGGAATAGGAGCATCACGGAGACGTGATAATGTAAACCAAGTTTGGAGTGATGAGGGACGATGAGCCAGGGTATGCGGTAGTCTCTAGAAGCTGGCTGGAAGGCAAGGAAAGGCAAGGAAAAACAGGGTCTCCCCTAGACCCTCCCACGTAAGTGCAGCCTTGGCAACACCTTGATTTTAGCCCAGGGAGTCTCGTATTGGACTCAGATATCCAACTGCAAGATAATACATTTGTGTTGTTTAAGCCACTGAGTTTATGGCATTTGTTACAGCAGCAAGAAGATACTCATACACAGACCCTGCTTGTCTGATCTTGGCAGCCTCCCTCCTCCCTGCTAGCGGTGACACTTCTCCACAGCTAATGTTTGTTTGTCGTTGTTCAGTCACTCACTCATGTCCAACCCTTTGCAACCCCATGGACTGCAGCACACCAGGTTTCCCTGTCCTTCACCATTTCCTGGAGCTTGCTCAGACTCATGTCCATTGAGTTAGTGATGCCATCCAACCATCTCATCCTCTGTCCTTTCCTTCACCTCCTGCCTACAATCTTTCCCAGCATCAGGGTCTTTTCTAATGAGTCAGCTCTTTGCATCTGGTGGCCAAAGTATTGGAGCTTCAACTTCAGCACCAGTCCTTCCAATGAATATTCAGGGTTGATTTCCTTTAGGATTGACTGGTTCAATCTCCCTGCAGTCCAGGGGAGTCTTCTCCAACGCCACAGTTCAAAAGCGTCAATTCTTTGGCACTCAACCTTGTTTATGGGCCAACTCTCACATCCATACACGACTAGTGGAAAAACCATAGCGTTGACTATACAGACCTTTGTTGGCAAAGTAATGTCTCTGCTTTTTATATGCTGTCTATGTTTGTCATAGCTTCCTTCCAAGGAGCAAGTGTCTTTTAATTTCATGGCTGCAGTGACCATCTGCAGTGACTATAGAGCCCAAGAAAATAAAGCCTGTCACTGTTTCCATTGTTTCCCCATCTATTTGCCATGAAGTGATGTTCATTGCATGTTGTTATATTTTGAGCATTGTGCTATTTAAGTCACTTCACCTTTTTCCAGGAACTCTGTGAAGTAAGCCCCACTATCTCCACTTCATAGCAAGGAGCTAAGGGATATGGAATCACTTGCCCGAAGTCACACACATAGTTAGAGAACCTGGGACTTTGTGGTCTGATTCCAGTGACCACTGATATCTTGGTGATAGGGACCGTCTGGGTCTGGGTGGAAGAGGAGCAACTGCCTTGGACCCGTTCATTAACGATCATAACCAGGGTTATTTACCGAGCATTAACCCCACATCCCACCCCTGGTAACATACAGAACCCGTAGTGTATGGATTGCAAGGCTGGGAAGGAGGTGTTATTACCTGCATTTTAGGGATGAAGACTCTCATCCATAATGTGGAGGGAGGGCAAGCATCTCCCCTCTGCAGGTGAGCTTGGGGTCAAGCTGGGATGCAGACCAGGCTGGTCTGGCCCCAGGACTGTGCTGACTGCGGAGTTCTTAAACACAGACCAGAGCCAGGAAGATTTCCGTCTTCATCAGCTTTATTGTCAGTTCATCATGATGCATCGACTCTGCACAGAAATCCATGACATCTTTCAGGTCCTATATTTGTGCTTCACAGGAAGTAATCTGTGCACATCATCTTGGATGAACATCTCTGTCACTCAGTACCAGGCTCAGATGGGGACACAACCACACGTCTGGGTGGATCTGATGGGGGCTCTGTTGTCACCAAGGATGAGACGAGACGTGGATACATTTTGGACGGGTCGGTGGTGGCCCTTGAAATTGCCATATCCTGATGCTTTTGCAAATCTGCCAAACTTGAAAATGCTATAGCATATCATTTCCCCCATAAGATGCTTTAAATTTTATCTAAATTCTTTAATAAACCCTTCTCATGAACTGATAAAGAGGCTAAATTAGAGAGCTGCTTTCTTAGATATCTTCATTCTCGTCATCAGCACAGCAGCTGGGAAAGCATTCTTTGTAGCCTTTTGGAAAATCACTCTGCTTGGAATAACTGCATTGTGAAGGCAACGCTGTAACCCAGGGCTGTGTTACAGTGAAGGCTGATCACTACCCACCTTCTTGTGCTTGACTCACATTCCTGCATTGGCAGCAAGACACCAGGCAGACATCCTGATACTGCAGGCTTGCTTTGCAAAGTGCGATTTCCTTCTCCTCAGCTTTCCATGAGGGGTGCAGGGCAGGTTGGGTGGATGAGGAAATTCCATAGAGCGATTCCATAGACTCGTCCATCGTTTCCAAGCTGGTGGATGGTGGAGCCGGGACCTGAGCCCAGGTTCTACAGTTATTGGCCCCTGCGGTGTGCACGTGGACCTGAAGGTATTCTCAGCTGTTGCTGTGGCCGGTGTTTATGTGGAGGGTGGCCCACAGTGTCTCATTTTTTCCTCACAATGTCATCACAAAATTATCCTCAGATATTCCAAAGCAACTTCTGTATCAATGTTTGAGTTGCTCACAGTTCCTTCCAGAGTGATTGTGTTAAGAGGTTGGGTGAAAGTTGATCTTGCAGTCAGGCTTTCTTAACTCCAGAGATGTTGAGAAATCCATAGACGTGATTCTGTCTTCTGCTGGGTTTCTGTCTTCTGCTGGGTGCAGACTCAGAACACAGGTGAATGTGTGAAGGCTTAACTTGTTCACTTATCAATATTACCGAGTCTGGGGACATAGAGCAACAGTATGGAAGAAGGCATCTTGCAGCCTGATAAACTGAGTAATAGTGGGCTCAGAGCCTCCATGGAGTGGGTGGAGTGGATGAAGGGAACAGATAAGGTTTTTATCGTGGGTCCGAGTAGCCTAGATTCACTATTGGTTCATATGATACTTGTGTGTTAAGTCGCTTCAATCATTTCCGACTCTTTGTGACTCCATGGACTGTAGTCCACAACGGTCCTCGGTCCATGGGATTCTCCAGGCAAGAATACTGGAGTGGATTGCCATCCCTCCTTCAGAGGATTGTCCCTGACCCAGAGATCGAACCCGTGTCTCTTATGTCTCCAGCATTGTCAGGCAGACTCTTTACCACTAGTGCCACCTGGGAAGCCCATAATACTTGAGTAGGTGACATTAAATTTTATAGTGAAGTTATATACTCCTCTTTATCCTTTCATATACTAAAAAGTAGTAATATTATTTCCTTTTGCCTAGGATTACGGGACAGCCAGTACAGTCCCCACGATCAAATTGCCCTTAAAAACCTCCAGTCTGATGTTCCAGAGAGGAGATCTGACTTCACCGAGGTAACATATGTTTCTAACTCCTAGAGTAGTCAGCAAAATGCAGCCAGCTGTAAAACGTGATCACTGGCCTACTTGTGATGTGTTCGCATTTTATTTTGTTTAGTCAAAAGTGGGATCAATGCAGCAGAAAATCTAACCATCATGACTAAGACTTTACATTTAAGTATGCAGTGTGTATTCATTCATCCTTTTATAATCTTGACCAATAATTTATAGATTTGCAGTATCAAAGGAGAGTATGGTGATCAAATCTCAACTTTAAGCCAAAATTAATCTGCTGGAGAGGAAGGATGATGCCATATGGCATTTTGAAGGTGGAGAAGAGGTAATTTGAAATCTAACAAGCTAGCACAGGTTGTTATAACTGCAAAAAATGTCAGCGGTCTCACACAGGGAAGAAAATTAGAGGTCATATTTACAAAATGAAATGTTTCTGATGCTAGACAATAAAGAACTCTGTGTACACAGTGGTAATGTTGACAGCATACCACATGGCAGGCTCTGTCTAACTGAGTTTTTTCACCTTACCACAATCCCAGGAAGGAGAGACCACTGGCTTTCTATGTCCATGGATTCTTCATCTGTGGGTTCACCCAACTGTATATTGAAGCTATTTGGGAAAAGGATTCCAGAAAATTCTAAAGAGCAAAACTTGAACATACTGCATGCCAGTTTATATATCAATATAACATTTACATTGTATTGCAGGCTATAAATGATCTAGAGATGATTTGAAGTAAACAGGAGGATGTGCATAGGTTATATTACAAACACTCTGAAATTTTACACATGGGACTTGAGCATCCTTGGCTTCTGGTATCTGAGGAGGTGGGGTCCTGGAACCAACCCACATTGGATTTTGAGGGACAACTGTATTGTTATTATTATATCTATTTTGCAGATGATAAAATGAAAGCTTTAGTAGCTCCAGTAGTTGACTGGCCCCAGATCTCACAGCTCATAAGCTGTCTGGCTCCAGAGCTTTTGTTTTGATCTTGCTCAACAGGGCTGGTGTAGAGAAAGTCTCATTCCAGTGAACAGAACTTGAACTATGGACTTTCCTGCCTGAGAGAATTGTCTGATGTGTTTCAGTTTACAAGGCATCTCTTGCCTTTCACAAATGATAATTCTGCTGCCAACTTTTGTAATTATGAGAGAGAGTGAAATTATAAGAATTGATCCCTCATAGCATTAATGTAGCCAAGGTAAAAAATAATTTTGCACCCTAAATACTCATCTTAGGTATTATGTTTTGATTTAACTTTGTGTTTAATAAAGTCCAACATTTCCTCAGAGATCCCAGGCTGAAATCTCACACAATGGATGAAGGCCACTCTTCTGGGTCTTGAGATTTAATTGTCAACATTTAAGGCCATTTCTGTGTGGACCACAGAGCTCCCTATCTGAGATGTGCAGATGTGTAACTATAATTAATGTGCTCCCTGAAAGCAGGAACAGGAACCCGGGCTGCAGGGAGGGAAATGGCTTGGAGGAGCCATAGACCCCTGAGAACCATCCCTGGGAGAGATGTCCATTGAGAGGTGGAGGATGATGTGAAGGTCAGCTGCTACTTTTTTAACAGGAAAGATGCCGTCTAAAGATCTTTCCCACCTGTTTTTCACATTGAGCTGGTAAATTTCAGCATTTTTCTGGTTGATGTTAAAATTAATCAGTTTGGTCATTCACAATACAGATCTTTGGACCCATCTGGCTGGATCTCAATAATACACACACACATTCATATACTCACACTTGGTCATTATCTATAACTGGGCTAACTCTCAGAGACCACACCTTCTAAACATCTACTTTGCAATGATCCGGATCCTCTGCTTTGATCATGACAGTAGTGTGACTTTCAAATTTCCCTCCTAACTTTGAGCTCTTAAGGCTTGTCCCTGGATGGGGGTTATAATGATGCTCTAAGATGATGAAACACTCCAAACGGGCGCCCTTCCTTTGTAACCGTGATAAATCTCCACCTCTCCTCCCAAGCCTTCACAAGATTGATCACTTTTCCTTTCAGATTCATCGAAGCCATAGAAATGATATGCAGCCAAGTGATTACTTAAAAGGAATGAATTATGGAACGGAGTTTTCTTTAAAAATTTTTTTTTTAATTTTCTTGATAGCAAAAATAATGGCAATTTCATATAGACACTTAGGAAAATGTAGGAATATATAAATAAGGAAATTCTTATGTATTTCTTTCCCTTATTTTTCTCTTGCATTTTTAAGCATGCAACTGTAATGTATATCAACATTTATAGTGTTCTTGTATTATATAACATTCTATCACAGGCAACTTCCCATATCATTTAAATTCTTTGTAATCCTTAGTTTTAATTTCTGCAGAATATGAGGCAGTCGTGCGTGCCATGATTGACTTACCCAATCCGCTTTGAAGAAGCATTTAGATTCTTGCCAGATTTTCACCGTCATATATTACACTGCATTGAATCCTTTGGATTCTACTGAATGTGTGGAAAGATAAGAGCTGCAGGCTGGAGAGGGGGAAAATCTCCAATTTTTCCATTTTGTCTTAAAACCATCTTTCCTTATTGTTACCTGCCAGAGGAACATTTGAAAACACTCTTACATTTAGGATGAGACGCCGCTGGGTTGGCAGCTGACCTAGAGAAGATGATTTTAGATCTCCCAAGCCAGAGTGAGCATGCTTGCAATTGATGCAAAGGTAACTACGGAGTGTGTCTGTTGGGAGGCGGCAACAGAAGCTCCACTGGCAAATAGAGTTGTAGTTTGCAGAGCAGCTATGGAAAAGGAAAGAACTGTCTCATGGAGAATAATACAGGTTTCAAAGCTATAGACTGGATTTGATGCTGATCCAAATTCATTTGGAGAAAATAAATTGCTCCAGGAATAGAAGCACCCTTACTCCTGTGGTTCAGGATCTGATCTTCCTGCTCACCTGCTGTTTATCTCTCTCATCCTTCAATTTATGAAATGAAGCCCTTCTTAGTAGTATGCCTTAAGGCATAAATATAAAGTTAAAAACAATCAATAAAATGCATAAAGCTATGAAAGTCGTTATCAGCACTACAGAATCATGTTTGAAACATTTAAAAGAAATCGATGTCTTACGGCAGCATTTATGAACGAGAGAGTGTTGTGTGGGATGGTCAGGAAAGGGATGATTTACTACCAAAAGCCTGACATAAAACCCAACTCATTTGACCTCTCTCTGACCTTGAATGTTCCACTTTACACACGAGATTATTTTCTTCCTCTCCAATCAACTCTTACATCAGTTAATTTTATATTAGATAAAAGACATCTTGTTTCAAAGCCATGTTCAGCTAACCAAGGACAGATGGAGTGACACCTTGAAAGAGCTTAATTGGGGAAGATGTTTGATGTAAAAGATGTGATTACTTTTTAAGAAAGTTTGTCCTGTTTGAAAAGCGCTAGCTGGATAGGCATACCAAGTGGCTTGTCTGTCTCTTCTCTTTCTTGGTTTCCCAGCCCAGAAGAGAGCAGGACGTGATGCGACGTAGTGGAGTCTGGTATGGACTCCACTGTGCACCCCCACAAATGTATATGCTGAAGTCCTCACTCCTAGAACCTCAGAGGGTGTGTTTAGAGCAGGGTCTTAAGAGACGATTCAGGCTCAATGAGGTTGTTGGGGAGGAGGGGCCATCATCTAATATGACTGGTGTCCTTGTAGGAAGAGTTTAGGANGCGAAGAGTTGACTCATTGGAAAAGACCCTGATGCTGGGAGGGATTGGGGGCAGGAGGAGAAGGGGACGACAGAGGATGAGATGGCTGGATGGCATCACCGACTCGATGGACATGAGTTTGAGTAAACTCCGGTAGTTGGTGATGGACAGGGAGGCCTGGCATGCTGCGATTCATGGGGTAGGAAAGAGTTGGACACGACTGAGCAACTGAACTGAACTGAACTGAGATCTCAATGAGAAAACAGGATTTCATAAATAAAAGTTCCCATACAATTGTGATGTAGATTGAAGGGCAAAGAGTACAATGTTTCCTTCTTAATTTCTCTGTTTATTGGTTGGGGCTTTTGTCAAAACTGAGTCTAAACACCTGAAAGAAATTCAGTAGACGTTAATTTAATAATCCCTGTCCTGGCAATTTGATGACCTGCTTGATGTGACCTCCAGTCTGTTAATTCCATGAAGCCAGGAAGTTTCCTCTGTACCTATCACAGAGCCTGGCATGTAGTAGGTGCTCAGTAAATAGTTGATGAGCAAATAAATACAGTAAGTTTCCTACATACGAAAAAGTGTTCATAAATCCAGTTTGTTCGGAAGTCCAACAAAGTTAACCTTGGTACCCAACCAACAAAATCTATCTAGTACTGTACTGTGATGTGTTTATAATATTTTTTCACACAAATAGTCTATACATAAAAACAAACAGAAAATAAACAAAACATTTTAAATCTTACAGCATCTTGAAAAATACAGCAGTATAGTACAGCAGATGGCATACAATGGCTGGAAACATGTTTGCATCTTCGCAAGCTTGCAACTTGAAAGTTCATATTTAGGGGACTTACTGTAAATGGTTTGACTATGACTCTACGTTATGAATAACAGGATTTGCATTGAAAATAATTACATGTATTCTACAGTCATATTAACAAAATTTCAATGTGTTGGGTGTGTAATGGGTTATTTCCATTGATGTAATTCAAAACTCAAATGCATTCATTATAAATTCTAGTAAAATATGCACAGTTTCTATATAAATACCCCCTCAAGTCTCCATAGGTTTGCTTACATCAGATATCCACTAATTTCTGCTAAGTCACAAGACAAGTTATACCCTGAAGTTACATAGAATGTTCATGTGGTTTCTCGCCCATCTTCGGTTTTGATCTGCACAGCTCCCTTATGAGGTAGTGAAGGCAAATGGATTTTCCTTTGAAACTGGGTTTCCATCAGCATTGACCTCCGTGGAACCAGGGTCACTCTGACATCTGGAATGATGATGGAGCTTCAGAAATAAGTTCAGATTCACATCACTGATGTGAGACTTCCCTCATCTGTTTGCATCTAATGGGATCAAAGCCACAGTATCACTTGCAGCCCCAAAGTAAAGAAATGGTGGTTGATTCTCTAGCCCATGGTCTGGGCCTCTAGAACCTCCTTCCGTAAACCCACAGCCCTGAGGGCATCCATCTCGTGTGGGTACTCTGGGCCCCGGCCGTGGCTTCCTGACTCAGCTCAGGTGAGCAGCCTGCTTGATGCAACGGGAGTCGTTTCCTGGTCTGCCCTTGTTCCATGTGAGATGGCCTTCACCCAGTCCTAGAAACACACCCCTCATTTCTGGCACCCCTTGTTTATATCAAGGCCAAGGCTCTCATGCGATCTTGAGCCTAAAGGATGGAGTCCCCTTTTGATGCTGGGGACCACGGTACGAGGCAGCCTGGCCTACTCCACGAGAATTACCCTGTTTGTTCCCTGGCCCTGTAGCTGTGGAAACCAAGGCTGCCTCCACGGTCCTGTGGCCAGTCTGGAAGCCCCTGGCGCAGCATCCTCACTATCTTATCTGTGCAGAAGGATCACCTAGCAGATGCTAAAGAATACAACTTCTGAGGCTTATCCCGAGACCCTGACTCGCCTTAGGTCTCTGGAGGGAGGGGCTCAGAAACCTGCATAAGACATAGGTTTAAATCCCAGGTGTCTTTTCGGCAGGTGCTCACTGGCCCAAACTTGGGGAGACTTGCACTCCAAGATCAGTGCTGCCCCGTTTCCAACATGGATATTTGTGTTTCTCTTGGAAGACTTGCGTCAAAGGGGCTCCTTCTGGGTGTGATTAAGCACTTTGTAGATTGCATGGGAGCAGTTATTATCAGAACGAAATTTTACTAAAATGGGAGCAATGATGTTCAAGTCAGGTGACCTGGGGTTGCCACCAGGTGAATGTCGGTTTTCTTTGTAGTGAGTAAACCTCAGCCCTGAAACGTGCTGCGTGCAGGGTCAGGGGGAAGGGGAGGGAGGGTTGTCGAGCTCCCCAGTGGCTGTCTGCGTTGCCGGCCCTGCAATCAGCTGGAAGTTTTAATTAAAGAGGTTCGAGGGGGGAGGGAGGGAGACATGGATACCTGTGGCTGATTCATGTCAATGTATAGCAAAAACCACCACAATATTGTAAAATAATTAGCCTCCAATTATAATAAATAAATTTAAAATAAATAAATAAAAAGCACCAACGACTGGGCCCCACCCCCACGGATTCTAAAGGAATCGTTGGAGAGGAGGCCTGAGTGTAGGAGATTTTATAAGCACCCAGATGATTCTGTCTGGACTGAAAACCACCGAAGAGGAGCCCCTGCTTTAGAGAAGAGGGTTCAAGCAGAGCCTGGCTCGCACTGGCCATCTGGAGAAAGGTCGCCATGATGCTTTGATTGTTATTATTATTATTGGCTGAGCTGCGCAGCATTTGAGATCCTAGTTCTCCGACCCGGGGTCAATCCTGTGCCCCCTGCAATGGGCGTGTGTAGTCTTAGCCACTGGACTACGCACTCGTAAGACCAGAGCTGCCCTGTTTCCGCCATGGATATTTATTTTTCTCTTGGAAGACTAGTTCCGGTTCTTTAACTTTGTTTGGTTTTCTTTATATTTTCGTGGCCATGCCACATGGCATGTGGGATCTTTGTTCCTCAACCAGAGATCAAGCTCCCACCCACTTCATTGGAAGAATGAAGTCTTGACCACTGGATCGACAGGGAAGTCTGATGTTTTGATTTTTTAAATGATAATTTTCAAGATGATGTTCCTCTCCATTTCTTCTTATTCACCTAACTCTTGTCATTTTTTGAATTTCCAACTTGCCACATATCTTTACTTTTCATCTTTATTTTATATTGGAGTATCGTTGAGTTACAATGTTAGCCTGTATATTTCAAATGTAACACCTGTAAGCTGATGGAGATTGCCATGAAAACAAGAAAACAAAGGAAAAACCAAGAAATACGAACTGTCCCTCTCCCATGTCTGATTGCAAGGATGCAAGGAGTCGGGTGCTAAGATCACATGCACGGGTCCTCCAATCAGAAGTCCAGCTGGAGGAAGCATTCCGATAGCTAAGTGAATGAATGTGAATCCTGCTCTAAAGAAAGAAAAAGCCACTGTGCTTTCTTATTCCATCGTAGGAAGAGAACAGTTTGCTCTCATCAGATGCAGGCCCTCCCCTGTTTGGAAAGACCAGCCACACCACGACTGTGTCCGCGGTTTTCCGTGAGCTCCCTGGGTCACCTGCGTCAGGCTCTCAGGAACGTTGGCTGCAGTGCGGATGCCTGCACCCCACCCACAGACCCGCAGATCTGGGGCCTGGGGACCCTGCGCGTGTACCATCCCAGGCGACCCTCGGGTTCCTTGGCGTTCACAAGCTGCTGTTCTCCATGCTGAGCACAGTTATGCCTTCAGGGCCCCGAAGTGAAGATCCCGCAGGCAGCGTGGGGCGAGCAGGCCTCTGGGTTATTTTGGGTGCCTTGCAGTGTATGCAAGGGTTCATCTGAAGCTCCTGGAATAAGGAACGTCAGCACAGAGGCTCAGAACCTCGCGAGCATCCCCTGGTGCTGGACACGCTCAATCTTCCATGTGGTTTTCTGCATTACTTCGTGCACATGTGTGATAAAATCAAAATAAGGGCAGAGTCTTCTTCCTGGTCTCGACCTGGGTAGATGTTTTATTAAAGATCACAGCACGCTGCTTGGACACACTGGTGATTGACTGTCAGGACGTAGGATCTGCTGATTAGGAAGCATGCAGCCCCTTGCTCGTGATACTGGACAAGAACTCATGTTCAGGTACCTGGGCATTGAAACGCCACAAAACTGCATCTGTTTTGGCCCAAACCCCCACTTTCATCCCATTCTGTTATGTGCTGTCATTACGGTGTTAGTCTGGGTGGTTGTCAAGCCTGGGCATTTGATTTCCGTTAATTTTGGTTTCTGGACTTTGATCCTGTGATGTCTAGCCTGGGCGAGTGACTGAATTCCGGTCTAGACCCAGCAGAGATTGAGGACTCTGCTGGAGAGTCGGGGACTGAGGTCAGGAGTGGGGGTGCTCTTTGGAATCACATGATCCATGGAGGAGCCTGGACTCATCTCCCATGCACACCTGTGCCCCCGAGTCCCAGCCATCCTCCAGAACGCACCTTCCCTCTTCTGTGAATCTGGGAACCTGTATCCAGGCACTCCTGGGCCTGGTGAAGGTGACTGTTGAAATCTGATTATCCCCATCAACACAAACATCATTAAATAAACTCAGTATAGACACCAGCAGAGAAAAAACAATTCCCCAGTCAGAGGAATTTTTCCAGAATGTCTAGTCATTTCACAAGCAGATATGGGTTTCCTGCCCTTAAGATGCTCAGAGGTGGTGGGTGTCAGGTGTGTGATGAAAGGCCTTGGATGAGAAATACTTGAGTGTTAGGAAGGACACTCTCCAGCATCCTCTTGGCCCTTGAAAGAGTTATCTGCCTGCATTACAACAAGCTGCTTGAATAATTACCATCTTTTTCCATTTGCAGGGGACTCTGGCATCTCAGAATACAAAGATGATTTCATCCATAGTCATTTCACAGCTGATTGATGAGAATAAATCAAAAGAAAATGGGGCCGCGTTGCCTATGCCGTGTGCATGTCCCATGAAGCCGTCTCTGGCTAATCGCAGCAGAGTCACCATTAACAGGGCCCTCGAGTTCCTTCCCGGAGGACTGGGAATTCAGACCCCGGCGGGGGAGCCAGGACTCAAGACCAAGCCACCGCCCAAGGAGGAGAAGCCATGCAGCGGCTCCCAGAAGGGCTTTGCATCCATCACCATCACGGCCAGGCGTGTGGGTGCCCCTGCCAGCACCCTGGTGTGGGAGGCTGTTGGGGACCCACTCTGCGTCAAGTGCAGGGCCCGGGACGCCCTGCTTGGGGACCCCTCTGCTCTGGCCGGCAGGGCCGATCCAAGTCAGCAGCACGGACCTTTCACCTGTACAGAGTTCTCCAGAAACAGCTGCGTGATGGGGCTGAAGGTCCCCGAGGCCCATGCACAGCTGTGTGAGGGACATGGGTACTGGATCACCAACGTGGACCACGGGGAGGATCATTTTTCTCCAGGCACCTTGCGGTCACGGGCAGGAAAGAGCCCGCTGTTGTTCAGCTCGTGTGTCCATCTCAGGGTGTCCCAGTCGTGTCCCAATCCCATCTACTCTCTGGACAGGTCCCTGTCGGTCCCTGTGGAGCCACCTCGGCTTGCTGGCCCGAAGACGCACAGATCCGTCCTGTCCCTCAACCTGAGCTGCAGTGCACACAGGCTGACACCAGATGGCGGAGACGACACAGAGATCAGAGAGCCTAGACGCGGAGCCCTGAGGCCCGCGCTCCGGGAGGGAGACGAGGACCTCCTTGGCCCACGCTGGAACCTGGGTTTGCAAGGAAGTTTCTCGAAGGAAAACCCATCGTTGGGGCAGGTGCATTTCGGGAACTTGGGGACTGGCAGGTGTCCTTGGAGAGGCTCTCCTCCTTTGGAAAATGCAGAGGTGGGAAGTAACCAGATCACCGTGAGAAAACGGAAGGAGGACCAGGCGGCTCATTGTCCCGCCCGTGGTCACGATCAGGCCCACCAACTGTCCATTCACATCCCGGGCTGGAGTTACACAGCAGGTGAGTGACGCTCCCATCCTCCCCGCCACCAAGGCAGGCCCCTCCCTTGGGAACTGGTGTAATTGCCAAGGTGCTTAGTGAGGTTCTTCTAGGTCAGTTACGCCAAGAAGCAGTTCTCAGTAGTCGCTTCATCTGTTCCACTCAGAGCTGACCGTCGCTCCATATCTATGTCTGGTTGGATAGATGTTCTTAGATGATGCTTCTGTAAATTATGAAAGGTCCTCCCATAAACGTGTTTCCATCAGTAGCTCCAGACCGAATGTAATGAGTAGGAAACTCGCCCCAAGTGAAGTTCACTTAGGCCCTTGTCATTCCAGGGCAGGATGGGAAGACCAAGGGCCATCCACTCCCAGATGCCTTATCCCTCTGCTCTGAACATCTGCATGTCTGGAAGTGTCCAGGCTTCTGTGCTGTTTACTTTTCAATTGGGTCATTGATATTGATGGTTTGGCCTTAGAAACCTGGACCACAAGACTGCATCATGGAGTATATATGTGAGAGTGTGAGTGTCTGTATGTGAGTGTGGATAGCAATTATGGGATGTTTTCAAAAAGAGGCAAAATGGGGGCTCTCCATAGCAAACAGCAGAAGTAGTAGTTTTCTGTCCCCTTAGTTACGTTTTCTGGGGGCCGACTGGCTGGGATATTTGCCTTTCTGCCATTGCCCAGGGCCAGGCAGAATTCCCAGGGCCAGCTGTTCTGGGTATCCGTCACCTTTCTAGGGAGACTGGAGTTGGAGGTGGAGGGGGCCTTAATCAGGGGTCAGATTTCTTTCCTTTCCTGTGTATACTTCTGTGAGAAGCTCTGGTTTATGAATTAGTGACTTACCACTTGGGGAAAATATTTAAAGACAATAGTGGTAAAATTGACTAAAATGCATATGCAGCATATGCATAATAATTTTCTGGTACAATTTTTGCCCATTAAAAGCTTTATTAATTAATAAAAATGACTGTAAAACATTTTAAAGCTATAATGTGTATAGAAATGTTAAATGATGTAATTAATTTTAACAAGTGTGTATATATTGAATGCTCAGAGATTTTTAAGGCAATTTGACATGACTTTCAGAACTGATGAGACTGTTGAATGCCTCGGAGCCTGGCAGACTTATTGCAACTAGGAAAATGTTAGCAGCCATCAGTGTTGCAAAGCTGGGCCTCACTTTGGTTTTTAAAAGACATTTCTCAAGCCAGCCATTTCTTCTTCCCTGTTGATGAAGATTCTGGAAATATATGGCCTGTACTGTTGCATGCTTCCCTGTTGAAGCATACCCTAGTCTTTTTGCAGTGTCTCATGGTATGAAATCATAATTTAGATTTACAGCACTTTCAACATAAGAGTCTTAAAAATCACTAGAGCCAGGACTCAAACATTTATCTCCGAGGAACATGAGCAAAGAAAATCCCCCCGTCTTATTCTTGACTTTGGCGCAGAGAAGGTTTCTGCCTGTGATTTTGTGAAATGACTTCTCCTATAACTGGCTTTCTTAGGCAAAATGTATGAGTAAATTTTTGCCTCCCCTGAACTGACCTCCCTCGGAATAGATCTGACCCCGATGAGGCAGGTGTGGAGCGTTGGAGAGGCTCTACCTGGCCTGGCCCTGCTCTACCATCTGAGGAAGGAGAAGCTCACGGAGGCCAGATCACCTTCTTAGAGTTGCTCATCTATTATTTTGCATCACATTGAACATGCAGAAGCCACACTAACCCTCTAAGCCTGTTTCCTCATCTGGGTAACTACAGAAGGGGTTGTATTTGGTATTCTTGAAACTTCCCTTAAGCTTTAACAAATTCTGCTCTTTTTGAGATGAAATCTATAAGGGAAAGAGGTTCCATGTGACTCTGGGCCCTCAGTCATGAAGTTCAGAGTTACAGAACCTTGGGCTCACTGGAACACATGTGTTCATGTGTGTAAATGCACACACACGTGTGCACGTGCGCACGCGCGCGCACACACACACACACACACACACACATCCCTGTAATGTGCTCTCTCACTCAGAAACTCATTTGCAATGGGATGCATTTCTTCCCAGTGACAAGAAAGCACTTCTTGTTCACGTGATAGGATTCTTGGCCTGAAATTTATAAGCCCAGCTCATCATGGATTCTAACTACCACAGTCTGTCCTAGCACAGTCAACATAAGTCTGCAAGGGCGAGCTCTCTGACCTTCAGTCTTGACAAAGCTTTTTAACCTTAAGGCGAGTACTTGCCAACAGTGGTGATGCTCATTAAAATGCAAAGGAACTGTTTATGTTTTTTTCATTTGAAACTGGAATCTTATCTGAGGCATTCTTGACAGCCTCCTGTGGCTACACATGCTATTAGTGGTCTTCATACTTCATAGGTGAAGTATGGTTCACCTGTGGTTCATCGGAAGAATCTGACTCTTTGTATCTGAAGGATTCCAAAATATCAAATGAGCGGTATCCTCACTAGCCAACTTGCATTCTGCTGCAAGGTAGGTGCAGCCCTGGAGATTCTGCCCAAATGGAGGCAAAGCAATTTCAGCTCTAGTTATTAGGTCATCAGACAGACAGTCCTATAAATTGTATTCTTGAAAGAGCCTCCAGGACGCACACCCAGAAAGATTACTAAGATTAGAGAAAATGAGATGCTATCAAGTGCTTTGTGTAATGCAGATTGGCCGTGGCTGCCATGACACGCATTCTTAGCAGACCCAGTGGGCCCTGTTCTCTTTTCAGAGGCTGGGGGCTTGGGAATGCGTTCCATCTTTGTCCATTTCCTCAGTCCCTGTAAGTTTGTTACTTCTCCCCTGTTAGAAGCATCCTGCTGGCACCTGGTAGGTGGGCATTCAACAAATCCCAGCATCTACTTGTAGGGAAGAATTTCACCATCACCACCACCCCACCATCACCATCTTATCAATACTCACAACACACACTGTGGAAATCCTAGAGGCTAAGCCCTGGGTTACATGCACTGTATTCATTGCTTTGAATCATTCAAATCCTTCTATAAAGAGAATATCATTATTCCTATTTTGCAGAAAAGACAGACAAGGCTTGAAGGTTAAATAACGTGCCCAGGCCCACCTGGCCAGGGGGTGCCAGAGCTGAGTTCAGTCCTGTGTGTTTGCTCCAGCTGTGCCATCCTCATTGAGAGCACAGAATAGATTAAGTTAGCAAGGTGGGGACTCTCTCAATGGTGGCCCCATCTCCATTACCACAGTCTGAGGTGATGCTCAAACACTGCTCCTGGGTGTACAAATAAGACCAGTTACCCTGGTAGAATCTGTTCAGAGAATAAGCAGCACAGTTAATTTCTAGCTTAATGTAACAAGCCATGCCACTGATACAGTTAAAACTTACTGGCTCAGACGTCCTTCCTAGCCGGAGATCTGTTCTCCTGGTGTTCTGTGGGACATAGAGTTGGCCTGGATGTTTCTCTCTTCACTGGGTGTTGCATACCTAAGCCAGGATCGAGTTCCATACATTACTTATTGCCAGTTTCATTTCCCACCTGTGGTCTAGATCTGAAGCTTTCTGCTGTTCCCGAGACACCCAAGTAGATGAGCCAGAACCACCTGTTTCTATTTCGATGCTTGTGGAGAAGACACTGTTGAATGGACACCATCTGCCAACATGTTGGCACGTTCTAGGTGGACGCCCATGTTCTAGGTAGACGCGCTGTCTTAGAATGGCTGTGGTGGTGTGGGTCTGAGAAGTCCTCAGTTGGAGTTCAGTCAGAAGACTAAGAAATACAGCATTCCTTCCATGACCTGGAATCACTAGTGGCCAAAGCTGGGAATTACTGGAGAGGGAGGAATCCCTTCCAGGTCACGGAAGGAATGCTGTGTTTGCTAGTGTTCTGACACAGTGATCTAATGCATTTGTAGCAGTGAGGTTTATTTCATGAGGAAACCACTTGCACCGTTCAAGGGAAGGCTACATGACACTGTGTGTATACATGCCAGGTCTACCAGAGAAGCCTGCGTCACACTCAGCTCTCAGGCCCATGAAGACTTCTTGCTAGAAATGCCAGAAGACATTTGAGGAGGAACCCTTGTTTTACAACTGTGCTTTTTTCTTAAATGATCTAGAACTGGGGTTGGCAAGCTTTTTTTTTTTTCCTTTTTGGAAAGGGCCAGGTAGCAATTAAGTATAGGCTTTGCAGGTCACATGGTCTCCATAGCCGCTGCTCAGCTCTGCCATCGTGGGATGAAAGCGGCTGCAGACAGTGTGTAAATAAATAAGCATGGCTCTGTTCCAATAAAACTTTATTGCCCAAAGCTAGCCGTGGCCCAGATGACGCGCTGTCTTAGAATGGCTGTGGTGGTGTGGGTCTGAGAAGTCCTCAGTTGGAGTTCAGTCAGAAGACTAAGAAATACAGCATTCCTTCCATGACCTGGAACCACTAGTGGCCAAAGCTGGGAATTACTGGAGAGGGAGGAATCCCTTCCAGGTCACGGAAGGAATGCTGTGTTTGCTAGTGTTCTGACACAGTGATCTAATGCATTTGTAGCAGTGAGGTTTATTTCATGAGGAAACCACTTGCACCGTTCAAGGGAAGGCTACATGACACTGTGTGTATACATGCCAGGTCTACCAGAGAAGCCTGCGTCACACTCAGCTCTCAGGCCCATGAAGACTTCTTGCTAGAAATGCCAGAAGACATTTGAGGAGGAACCCTTGTTTTACAACTGTGCTTTTTTCTTAAATGATCTAGAACTGGGGTTGGCAAGCTTTTTTTTTTTTCCTTTTTGGAAAGGGCCAGGTAGCAATTAAGTATAGGCTTTGCAGGTCACATGGTCTCCATAGCCGCTGCTCAGCTCTGCCATCGTGGGATGAAAGCGGCTGCAGACAGTGTGTAAATAAATAAGCATGGCTCTGTTCCAATAAAACTTTATTGCCCAAAGCTAGCCGTGGCCCAGATTTGACTTGCCAGCTATAATTTGCCTGCTCTTTATTGTCTATTCTCCAAGACAAAGTTTGCCCTGTTGGCCATTGCTCCATGTTGGAGTCTGTGGAAACCCA